CACTAAAATGATAATAATCATTCTTAACATAGTAATTATTAGCTAACTTTTGACATTCACTATGCATTTAGCTAAGTCTTTACATGAATTATTTCATTCAATATTCACAACAATCATGTAACCTGGGTGCCAATATAAATCTTATTTTACAAAGGTGGAATCTACATTCAGGGAGGTAAAGTAATTTACCCAAAGGTAAGAGCTTATAAATAGAAGAGGCAGGATTCCAACCCAGGCCTATCTGACTTCAAAGTCCAAGCTCTTAATGCCCACGCTATACTAAGAAAATGAGAATAAAAGTGGAGATGAGGGGACATATTTGTGCAAAATTAGGGATTAATCACCAAAGATACTTTCTAATGACTGGATGTTGGGGAGGGAGCAAGTAGGAGGGATCTCTGGCCTGGAAATTAAGAAAATATTGGTGCTATAAAGTTAAATATGGAAAAGAACTATTTGGGAATGAAAATAAAGAATTTGTGGACTGTGTGACAACATTTGGTAGGAGGTGAATACACTGGTTTGGAGCTCAAGTTGAAGACCTGGACAGGAGATACAGATTTGGAAGTCTTCAGTTTGAGATCATTGTTGAAACCACAAGAATTAATGAGATAAAATTTGGAAAATGGAGAAGAGAAGAAATGGAATTAAAACTAAATACTAATAAAAGGATGGGCAGGAAAGAATCCAACAATGGAGAAAGGAACCCTAGGAGGAAAGTGTAGATTTTGAAGGAAAGTAGGATCAATAACAGGATATTACAAAAAGATCAAGTAAGGGAAGGACCAAAAAGTATCCATTAGATTTGGCAAATCTTCCTCAAATCTTAGAAACTGAAGACAGGAGAGAATTTTTGGTGAAAAGGAAATAGTGGTGGGAGAGACAGAATTTTGACTGATTGTGAGCAGGATCTCCCACATTAGTCAGGAACACCTTATTCTTTTATCTTAACACAGCCAAATATTGTCCCCAACCTGAGACTTTGAAGTACAATCAATGAAGGAGACAGGGGTGAGGGTAGTGCAAATGAAGCTAAGTTACCCAAAAGGGAGAGCTTGAATTGTTCTCTATTTTCATTTGGGGACTTTATGCTAGATTTTTAAAATGCAGGGAAGAAATACAAGGATAAAGGTACATATTAAATAAATAACACCAACCAGCAAATTCTGGATATATATAAAAACCTTCAACCAAGTAAATTGCAAGGACAAGAAAAGGAGGGGAAAGAAACCTAATGTAAAAGAAGAAGAAAGAAAGGGAGGAAGAGAAGGAAGGAGGGAAAGAGGAGGAAGGATGGAAACTTAAGCAAATGCACGTGTTGGGATCTAGATTCAAAGAAATCTAAATATTGACTGGGCATCAATGATATTAAGAAATTATGAGATGCACTGTTGGTGGGAGTGAAAACTGGTACATCCACTGTGGAAAACAGTATGGAGGTTCCCCCAAAAAATTAAAAACGGAACTACTCTACGATCCAATAATCACATTACTGGGTATTCAAAATACAAAAACATACAAAATACAAAAAAAAAAAAACCACACACACACAAAAACACTAATTCAAAGGGATATATGCCCCCCACCCCCCAATGTTTATAGCAACACTGTTTGCAATAGCCAAGATATAAAGCAGCCCAAGTGTCCATCAATTGGTGAATGGATAAAGATGTGGTGAACAAATGAACAAAGGGGAAAAAAGGGAAGAGACAAACCAAAAAAGACTCTTGGGGCACCTGGGTGGCTCAGTCATTAAGCATCTGCCTTCAGCTCAGGTCAGGATCCCAGGGTCCTGGGATCGAGCCCCGCATCGGGCTCCCTGGTCAGCGGGAAACCTGCTTCTCCCTCTCCCACTCCCCCTGCTTGTGTTCCCTCTCTCACTGTCTCTCTCTGTCAAATAAATAAATAAAATCTTAAAAAAAAAAAACAAAGAAAGAAAGAAATAGACTCTTAACCGTGGAGAACAAACATATGGTTATGGGGGGGTGGGTGGGAAATGTGTGAAATAAGTGATGGGGATTAAGAGTACACTTACCAAAAAAATTTTTTAAAGAGTACACATATCATGATGAGCACTGAATAATGTACAGAACTGTTAAATGACTATATCATACAACTGAAATTAACATAATACTGTATGGTAACTACACTGGAATGAAAATTAAAAACAATAAAAAAGAAATTATGAGATAGAATTGGTTACATTTAGAAAAGGAGAGCTTATTCTTTGGAAAGGCATAATGAAATACTTCAAATGAAAAGGCATAGTGTCTGGGACTTGCTTCAAAATCATCCAGCAGGAGGTTGGAGAAAGAAGAGGATGAGGGTGTTGGTAAAGCAAGACTGGCCATGGGTTTTGATAACTGTTTAAGCTGCTTGATGGACATGGGGATTCACTGTATAACTCCTCACTCCTTTGGTATATATTTGAGATTTTCAATACCAATGTCTTTTTAAGTGGAAAAAAAAATTTATTTAAATTCAATTAGGTATAGTACATCATTATTTTTTGATATTATGTTCAATGATTCATTAGTTGAAAATTTTAAGATATTCTGTTTTGTTTCTTAAATTCCACATATGAGTGAAATCACATGGCATTTGGCTTTCTCTGACTTATTTTGCTTAGCAAAATACCCTCTTGTTCCATCCAGATGAACACAGGGGAAGGGAAAGAAAATAAGATGAAAATAGGGAGGCAAACCATAAGGGACAATAATTCCAGGAAACAAATGGACGGTTGCTGGAGGGGAGATAGGTGGTGGGGGACGGGTCATTGGGTGATGGGCATTAAGGAGGGCACTTGATATAATGAGCACTGGGTGTTATATGCTACTGATGAATCACTAAATTCTACCTCTGAAACTAATAATACAGTATATGTAAACTACATTGAATTTATTTTTTTTACTACATTGAATTTAAATAAAGAATTTTTTAAAAGATATTATTTCATTATGATATACTTCATAGTGCACAAGTAGAAATAAGGAAAACTCAAACAACAAAAAATGAGAATCTTAGGAAACGTATATGCACTAAATAGGTAAAGAAACCATGTTATATAGAAGCTATTATATTATTAGGTCTCAATTTTTATTTTTTATTTTTTCAATTTAAATTTTTTATTATGTTCAGTTAGCCAATATATATAGTACATCATTAGTTTCTGTTGTAGTGAAAATTTTTAAATTTAAACTGATACATATATATATCACATCTTCTTTATCCATCCCTCTATTGATGGACATCTAGGCTCTTTCCATAGTTTGGATATTGTGGACATTGCTATTATAAACATTGCGGTGCAGGTGCCCCTTCAGATCACTATGTTTGTGTCCTTTGGGTAAATACCTAGTAGCGCAATTGCTGGGCCATAGGGTAGCTCTATTTTTAACTTTTTGGAGAACCTCCATACTGTCTTCCAGAGTGGCTGCACCAGCTTGCATTCCCACTAACTGCAAGAGGGTTCCCCTTCTCTGCATCCTCGCCAAAACCTGCTGTTTCCTGACTTGTTAATTTCAGCCTTTCTGACTGATGTGAGGTGGTATCTCATTGTGGTTTTGATTTGGATTTCCCTGATGCTGAGTGATGTTGCACATTTTTTCATGTGTCTGTTGTAGGCCTCATTTTTAAAATACTATGATTCTAGAGCATGAATAGTAAACAGAGCATGAAAAAAACGGACAGTCCATGTAAGGACATGTATATATGTAGCAATATAGAATTTACTAAATGTAGCATTTCAAACCTAAGAAAAGATATTTATGTCATATTTTTTCTCAGAATTTCCCAATAAGTTATTAGCTCAGGATAACTGAATTCAACTTTACTTTGATTAAATTTGGCCCAATGAACTGGCTCTTTTGTTACTATCCTCAAAGTGGGCATAAGCTGTTTTAAGAAGAAAGCTAGGTTGGTACTATATTTAGAACCCAAGGTCTTGTGCTTACCTATGTATATATAAGTATTATATATCTTATTCAAGTGGAAGGTCCTGAAATACGGGTTCCATGCCTTCCTTAGTGCTGTGAGGGATATGAATAAAGTCCAATACTTAGAAATAATGTGTTCTGAATCTTTTTTATTTAAAGTCAATTAATTAACATATAGTATGTTATTAGTTTCAGAGGTAGAGTTCAGTGATTCATCAGTTGTATATAATACCTAGTGCTCATTACATACATGCCCTCTTTAATGTCCATCATCCAGTTACTCATCCATCCACCCCCCTCTCCTCCAGCAACCTTCAGTTTATTTCCTATGGTTAAGAGTCTCTTATGCTTTGTCTCCCTCTCTGATTATGTCTTGTTTTATTTTTCCCTCCCTTCCTCTATGCTCCTGTTTTGTTTCTTAAATTCCACATATGAGTGAAATCATATAATTGTCTTTCTCTGATTGACTTTTTTCGCTTAGCATAATACCTTCTAGTTCCATCCATATCATTGCAAATGGCAAGATTTCATATTTTTTGATGGCTAAGTAATATTGCATTGTATATGTATACCACATCTTCTTTATCTATTCATCTGGCACCTGCACCCCAATGTTTATAGCAACAATGTCCACAATAGCCAAACTATGGAAAGAGTCCAGATGTCCATCGACAGAAGCTTTTTGAATCTTAAAAGAAAAACAACTACAAACAGCAAATGTTGGTGATAGTAGTATGGTAATAACAACCCATCATTGTTATTTAAGAACACACAGGTTTCCATCATTAAAATACTGTTCTAAAAAATAAATGTTTCTTGAACATATGAATATGTTTCTATGAATCACACCAAGCCACTGCTGGTGAGTTTTCCTCCCTTTGTGTGCCCCGAGCATGGCCAGCAGAGCCATGATTTATGAGATGCAATAATAGGACAGATGAGATGAACAATAATGCTGTATCTGTTCAGTGGGTGACTTCAAGCACCTTAGGGGAGGAAAGGCAAAATCATGCAGACAAGGGATCTGAAAAGATGGAGGATGGAAGGGAATTAGGGGCTTCTCACTTGTTCCTCAGCATTGCAGAGGTCTTCTTCAATCACAAGGACCTGACTTAAATCCAAGCTCTGGGGGAAATCGAGTGAGTGGCAGATCTTTTCTGTCTGAGAATTCCTGATGGAGAACCGCAAGAGGTGGATTGTCAAGGTCTGGGGCAAATGGGTCAGCTTCAAGACCTGAAAAAGCAAAATTACCAAGGAGATGAAGTCCTAAGGCACTTGAAACAGGTAGATGTAGAGAAATACCAGGGCCAGTGGTGTGTTCTTCTTCCCCAAAAGGGATCAGAATGATATAATACAGATTTAAGGGCTCCCATCTGCTGAACCTGTTGAGCTCTCCACAGAAGGCATGAGCAGCGCTAGGGTTCTGCACAGGAACTAGAGACCAGGGGATCTAGAGAGTCTGCTCTAAAGAGCTAGTCTAACCCTGCATGGAAAACTCTGCCTGCTGCTCTTGGACCTTCTCTTCTCTCTCTCTTTTTAAAAGATTTTATTTCTTTATTTTGTCAGAGAGAGAAAGAGAGCCCAAGCAGGGGGGGCAGCAGGCAAAGGGAGCTCTGAGCAGGGTGAGCGGCGGCAAGGGAGAAGCAGACTCACCGCTGAGCAGGGAGCCTAATGTGATGTGGGACTCAATCCCACTCTGGGGGGACTCTGGAATCATGACCTGGGATCATGACCTGGGCTGAAGGCAGATGCTTAACTGACTGAGCCACCCAGGCGTCCCTTCCCTTATCTTTTAAAAGACTCTGCCCTCTCAGTGATGGGCCTCTGAAAATCAGAAGCCCAAGATCCCAGATACTAGCCAGATATGGATTCCTTCCCTCAAACAACATATGGTACCCTCAAGGCCTCTATGAAGACTCTATTAGGAAATCCACTAAAGACAACCCCAAACTAGGAAAGCTTCTGGTTTCAGAGAGTACCTGTTTCCCACAAGTCTTCTTCCCACATTTCTCACAGAAGCATTTGCTTTTGCCTGATAACTCCCTGGGCTGGAAGAAACATTGAAGGGCATCCTCCTGTGTCAGGAGATCAAAGAAAAAGCAGAGTTAGTATTTACCACCCTACAGATGAGGATTTAAGTTTTCCTTCTGGTTCTCTCCATGTCCCCCATCAACACCCGGCCCAGTGTGGGTGCATGTGACAGGATCTCCAAAAGTACCTACTGACTGGATGGAAAAATAGGAGGGAGCACTTGTTAAGGTAGCAGTGGGACGAAAGGAAGTAAAAGGAAACAATTTTTTTTTCACCAAATCAAAGGAGAAACTTAGAACTGTGCAAAGGAGATAGAAATTACTTTTTAAAAGGCAGCGGTGGATTAAAGAAGGGCACATGGGCAGCACTCGGTTTATGTGTACAGCAAATTAACCAAAATAAATCCCTCACCAGTGTTTTCAGGGGTTTTGAGTCCATATCAAAAAGAGGAAGGGGGAGGGTCAACATGCTACTGTTTCTGCTCTTCTCCACAGTACATTCAAGGCAAACCAAGGACTCCTTCACCTGGATTGTATACAGGGCCTGCAGCCTCTCTACCTGTAAGAGAGAGGAGGTAAGAGGAAAGAAGGGTACAAAGCCATAAATAAAACAGGTCAAGTCAATTTCCAGAAATTATAGCCACCAGATAGAAGCTCCATTGATGCTCTCTGTTCTTCAAAAGGTGCAAAATAATAACAGTAATAATATTATGGAATTGTGATAAGCATTTTATGTGGATTTCTCTTTTAATCCTCTCTATACATTATATTAATGATTACTGAATGAGCTAAATGAGCAGCATCTTAAACTTCTGAGTTCTCTGGTTCTAGGATCTCACCAAGTCCACATCTGTGATTTGGTCCTTAATTAGGTTCCAGACTGTGAGGTAGAGTTGAGCAGCATCATGCTGGACAAACACTGGACAAAGAGAAAAGTAACAGCCCGATCAGTGAGGTCACCAGGGACATTTCTCATGCATGCCCTTGTGCCCTAGCTACCTAGATGTACATGAACACTCATCATTTTGTCCTCTCCTAGCCTTCACCATCACCATCACCCCCTGCTTTAATTAGGTACTAAAAATGAAAAATAAGCTTGTTATTTATTTTTGAGAACTCCTCTTAAAACTTAAAATCCAGGGGCGCCTGGGTGGCTCAGTCATTAAGTGTCTGCCTTCAGCTCAGGTCATGATCCCAGCATCCTGGAATGGAGCCCCAAGTCAGGGCTCCCTGCTCAGCGGGGAGCCTTCTTCTCCCTCTCCCTTTGCCCCTCCCCCTGCTTGTGTTCCCTCTCTAACTGTCTGTCAAATAAATAAATAAAATGCTAAAAAAAAAAAAAACAGTTAAAATCCAGTCCAGCTGCATCACAGAAGTTTCCTTTCCTCTGACTAGCCACCCACGCCTACTGGCCTCTACTGGGGGACCCAGCCAGATAAAATCAATATCCAATAGTGGGTTCTCTCCTATTTCCAAGCCAAGCCAACACCCTAATTAGATTTTAATGGCCATTCATTTCTCTGTACTTTTATTTAATTTGTCATTTCCCAGAATTTGAGCAGTTTCCCAAATACTCATGTGACCCCGGTCTTCCCCAAAGCTATCTAGGAGAACAAGAAAGGAAAGAACCATCTCAGTGTTAGACGATGCTGGCTAAGAGGAAACAGGAATTAAGCAGTAAATTCTCCATATGTTATATAAGAAGCCTAAAAGACAGATATAAATGAATTTCTGTTCTTTAAAAGAAACCTAGGAATACAAAGAACATGAAAAATACACTGAGGACTATTTTACAAAAGAATATATGTCTGCCTGTATCATATGACCTCACTGATATGAGGAATTCTTAATCTCAGGAACAAACTGAGGGTTGCTGGAATGGTCGGGGGTGGGAGGGATGGGGTGGCTGGGTGATGGACATTGGGGAAGATATGTGCTATGGTGAGCACTGTGAATTGTGTAAGACTGTTGAATCACAGATCTGTACTTCTGAAACAAATAACGCAACATATTTTAAGAAAAAAGAAAAAGAAGAAGATAGCAGGAGAGGAAGAATGAAGGGGAGTAAGTCAGAGGGGGAGACGAACCAGGAGAGATGATGGACTCTGAAAAACAAACTGAGGTTTCTGGAGGGGAGGAGGGCGGGGGGATGGGTTAGCCTGGTGATGGGTATTAAAGAGGGCACATTCTGCATGGGGCACTGGGTGTTATGAACAAACAATGAATCATGGAACAGTACACCAAAACAAATTATGTAATATATGGTGATTAACATAACAATAAAAAATTAAAAAAAAAGAATATATGTCTGCCAACATGCAAAGACATTGCAAGAAAAGGTAGTTATTGTAAATGTATTAAATACTCATATCAGCTATCTCAACACCATTTTATTTCCTTCATGATACCACAGTTTGTACTTAACATTTTTGGATTTCATTTTCTTTTGTTTTGGCCTGTCTGTTCTCTAGATTGTAAGCTCCATGGAGGCAAAGACTCTATCAGTCTTATTCCCTTATCTACAGCACCAGCACAATACCAGTCACGTAATAGATGAACCCTATATATATGAGCTGAATGAATTAATTAATCCATATTTTAAGGTAATAACCCCAAAACCTAAAGACAAACAGAGTGGAACTAGGGTTGAACTATGCTGTCTCCAGGGAATTATTTACAGAAGGCTGCCTGCCATGAAGCCAACATTGGACATAAAGTTAGATCACCTTGCCATGTAAAGACATTTGCCTCATCTGACCATACCAGAGCCAAGAGTCCTGATTCATCTAAAAAATACAGGGGTATTTGCCCAACCCATAATTTACTTAACACCTGCTATGTGCAAGGCATTGCACATGCTAGAGGAAGTTCCTATCCCCAAGAAACCTATATTCTAGTGGAGGACAAGAATGTCCCTTATCATCACTCCGTTTCAATGTGGTATTGGAAGTCCTAGCGAATGCAGTAAGACAAGGAGAGGAAATAAAGGTATACTGATTGGAAAAAAAATAAGAATGTCCTTATTTGCAGGTGACATGATCATCTATGTAGAAAATTCAAAAGAATCAACAAAAAACTCCTGGAACTAGGAGTTGGATACAACTGGAACTAACTTGGATACAAGGTAAACAAAGTTATGGACCTTATAGAAGTCCTATATACTTTCCTATATATCAGCAATGAACAAGGGGAATTTTCTTCCTTTTTTTATTATTATATTAAACTATCCAACATATATTACATCATTAGTTTTTGATTAAGGGGAATTTTAAATTAAAAGCATAATATTATTTAAATTAGAAACCATGAAAATAAAATATTTAGGTATAAATCTAACCAGATATGTACAAGATCTATATGAGAAAAACTATGAACTCTGATGACAGAAATCAGAAGAACTACAAAAATGGAGAGATATTCCATGTTCATGGATAGGAGGACTCAACATTGTCAAGATGCCAGTTCTTCCCAACTTGATCTATAGACTTAATGCAATTTCAGTCAAGATCCCAGCAAGTTATCCTGAGAATACTGACAAAGTGATTCTAAAGTCTATTTGGAGAGGCAAAGACCTAGAATATACAACACAATATTGAGGGGGAAAATCAAAGAACTAATTCTGAACTTACTATAAAGTGTCAGTAATCAAAACAATGCGGTATTATAAAAGAACATAAAAATAGATCAATGGAATGAAACAGATCCCAGGAATATACCAACATAAACAACATCAACTGCTCTTTGACAAAGTAGCAAAGGCAATACAACAGAACAAAGACAGTCTTTTTGTCAAATGGTGCTGTAATCCTGAATATCCACATGCAAACAAACGAATCTATACACAGACCTTAAATCCCTTAAGAAAACAAATTCAAAATATATAACAGACTTAAATGTAAAATGCAAAACTATAAAAGTCCTAAATATAATAAAGGAGAAAATCTAGAAGACCTTGTGTTTGGTGATTACTTTTTAGATGCAACTCCAATGTACAAGCAATAAAAGGAAGAAGTGATATACTGGACCTCATTAAAAATAAAAATTTCTGCTCTGTGAAAGATACTATCAAGAGCATAAGAAGACAAGCCACATCCTGAGAGAAAATATTTGCAAAAGGTTTATCTTATAAAGGACTGTTATCCAAAATATACGAAAAAATTCTTCAAACTCAACAATACGACAAAAAAAATCTGATTAAAAAATGGATGAGGGGGGCGGAGCAAGATGGCGGAGGAGTAGGAGACCTAGATTTCGTCTGGTCTCAGGAATTCAGCTGAATAGGGATCAAACCATTTTGAACACCTACAAACTCAACAGGATATCGAAGAGGAGAGTAGCAACAACTCTCTGAACAGAGAAGCGACCACTTACTGGAAGGTAGGACGTGGGGAGAAGTGAATCCGAGGTGATATTCGGGAGGATAGACGGCGGGGGAGGGGCCTCCGCCGCTTCTGGCAAGTGCTAGAGCCTCGGAGCACAAAATCGGAACTTTTAGAAGTCGGCTCCGCTGAGGGACGTCGCTGCAGTGGCTAAGCAGGGGGTGGAATCCTCCCGGGACAGTGTGGTCTCAGGACCCTCAGGATCACAGAAAGACCGGGGGTGCCTGAGTGCGGCAGAGCTCCCAAGTATCGGAGCAGGGAAGCCGGCTGCAGAGACGAAGCCGAGGCGCGGGCTTTCAGCTCGGGGTTGCCATAAACTGTGATCTGTGGCCCAGTCGGGCCACTGCTCCTCCAGCAGGGACCCAACAAGCGGCAGAGCTGGGGAGACTCCCCTTCCTTCCCGGGGAGGAGCGGCGCGGGAACGCACCGCAGGGATCTGCTCGGTTTGGAGACTCCACACGGGGTCGGGTGCCAGAGATAGAAACGCTCGGTCACAGGCCGGGTGAGCACAGAGTGCAGCCGGAGACCAGGGAGAAGGAGTGACTGCTTTTCTCCGGGGGCACACTGAGGAGCGGGGCCCCGAGTTCTCGGCTCCTCCGGGTGGAGATTGGGAGGCCACCATTTTTGCCCTGGTCCTCCAAAGCTGTACTGAGAGCTTGCAGGGAACAAAAGCTCCTGAGAGCAAACCCGAGCAGCTTCCTTAGCCCGGACCGACAAGGGCGGGGCAATTCAGCCTCTGGCAAAGAAATTTGGAAACCACAGCAACAGGCCCCTCCCCCAGAAGATCAGCATGAACAGCCAGCAAGCCAAGACCAAGTTTACCGATCAAGGAGAACGGGAGAACTCCAGCGCTAGGGGAATACTGCACATAGAATTCATGCTTTTTTACCATGATTCATTAGTTCATCAAAGCTAATTTTTGTTAACTGTTTTTTTTTATTTTTCATTTTTAGAGTCATATTTTATCCCTTCATAGTAGTTACCCTTATTTTTGGCATATATATATATATAAGTTGTTCTCTCTTTAAAATTTTGAGATACAGTTTCTTCTAACAGATCAAAATATACCCTAAATCACTAGTGTA